TTGTCTTCTAATCTCTGAACATGGGATGTTTCCATTTATGCATTATTTTTTTTCAGTGATGTTTTATAGTTTTCAATACAAGTCATGCATATCTTTTGTTCAATTCACCTGTAATTTATTCTTCTCGATGCTGCCTTAAAATATGTATTTTTTTAAATTTTATTTTCAGATTAATTTCAAGCTTACTGAAATACAATTGAGTTTTTATATTGATCTTACATCCTGAAAGTTTGCTGAACTCATTTATTAGTTCTAATTTTTTTAATGGATTCCTTAGGATTTTCTATGTACAAGATAATATCATTTGCAAATACACATTCTACTTCTTCCTTTCTGAACAGTATAACTTTTCATTATTTCCTTTTTTAGCTATCCTGACTTGAGCCTCTTGTACAATGTTGAATGGATGTGGTTACAAAGGACTTCTTTGTCTTGTTCTTTATTTTAGGGGGAAAACATCTAGTCTCTTACCATTAAGTATAAAGTTAGCTGTGGGGTTATTCAGTAGGTACCCTTCATCAGGTTAAGGAAATTTCCTAGTGTCTTAGGCAGGGTTTTCCAGAGACACATAATCAATAGGAGATAAATATAGATACACAGATAGATAGATAGATAACAGATAATGGCTTGTTTTAAGAAATGGGGGGCTAGCAAATTCAAAATCCATACTGGAGATTCTAGCAGGGTATCTATATTTAAGTCTTGAAGCAAAATTCTCTTCTTCTAAAAACCTCAGTTTTTGCTTTTTAAGGCTTCAGATGATTGGACTAGACACACCCATATTACCAAGGATAATCTCTCTTTCTTAGAGTCAACTGATTGCAAATGTTAATCAAATGCACAGAATGCCCCACAGAAACATATAGAGTAATATTTGGTCAAACAATTGAGCACCATAGCCTAGTCAAGTTGTCACATAAAGCTAACCATCACAATTCATCTCTTGTCAATCTAGAACCCATACACATCTCCATAAGGAGCTCTGGTGACATAATGCCTAAGGCAATTGACTCTAAACCAGAAGTTGGTGGTTCAAACCCACCAACCACTTCATGGAAGGAAAATGGGGCAATCTACTTCTGTAAAGATGTACTGAGTCAGAAACCAAATGGGGACAAAAGATGGAAGGAATACAGAGTCACCATACCAAAAAGAATTGGCCAATGTTCAACCATTTGAGGAGATAGCATATGATCAAGAACCAATGGTACTGGAGGAAGAAGATCAAGCTACACTAAAGGCAGCAAAAACAGGGCTCCAGAAATTGACAGAAAACCCATTGAGATGTTTCAAGTAATAGATGCAGTGCTGGAGGTGCTCACTCATTTGCACCCACTGACTGAAAAATATACATACGTGTGCCCATTCCAAAATAAGGTGGTCAAACAAGATGTGGAAATTATCAAACAATGTCATTATTATCATATGCAAGTAAAATTTTGCTGAAGATAATTCAAAAACAATTGCAGCAGTATATGGGCAGGGTACTGCCAGAAATTCAAGCTGGATTCAGAAAAGGACGTGAAGTGAGGGATATCATTGTTAATATCAGATGGATCTTGAGTGAAAGTAAAGAGTATGTGCAATATATTTACCCGGTTTATTGACTCTGCAAAGGCATTCAACTGTGTGGATCATAACAAATTATGGATCACATTGCAAAGAATAGTATTTCCAGCAAATAATCCCAGAATCTCAACTATATGAAGTACAATGCAGCATCAGGATTGGAGGAAGACTCATTAATAACTTGTGATTGCTTGTTGAAAGTGAAGAAGACTTGAAGCACCTACTGATGAAGATGGATTACACCTCAACTAGGCCAGTAACCACAATAAATGGAGAAAAGATTGAACATTTCAGGGATTTCATTTTACTTGGGTCTACAATCAATGTCCATGGTAGCAGCAGTCAAGAAATCAGACATTGTATTGCACTGGGAAAATCTGCTCCAAAAGACCACTTGGAAATATCACTTGGAAAACTACGGTGTGCATGACCCAAGCTATGGTATTTTCAATCACCTCATATGCATGTAAAATCTGGACAATGAATAAGGAAGATGAAGAATTGATGTCTCTGAATTGTGTTGTTGGAGAAGAAAATACTGAAAATACCATTGAATGCCATTTGTTTTTGTTAGATGCTGTCCAGTCAGTTCCAAGTTATAGTGACCCTTTGTACAACAGGACTGCCAGAAGAACGAACAAATCTGTCTTAGAGGAGATACAGCTGGAATACGGCATAAAATGAGAATGTCCAGACTTCATCTCACCTACTTTGGTCATATTGTCAGAAGAGACTAGTCCCTGGAGAAGGATATTATGCTTGGTAAAGTAGAGGGTCAATGAAAAAGGGGAAAACCCTCAATTAGATGGATGACACTGTGGCTGGCACAATGGACTCAAGCATAGCCAGGATTTTGAGGACGGTGCAAGACTGGTCATTGCTTTGTTCTGTTGTACATAGAAATCCTATGACTTGGAGCTGCTTAGAGGCCATCAAACAAAAGCATCCAGTGGGAAAATTTTGTATATCTCTATAAACTCATTGTAATCGAGTCAGTTCTGACTCTTAGCGATAACCATTGGGTTTCCAAAGCTATAAATCTTTATGGAAGTAGATTGCCTCATCTTCCTCCTGCAGAGCAGCTGGTGGGTTTGAACTAGTTAACAGTCAAATGCCTTACCCACTATGACACCAGAGCTCCTTGTATACCGCAACTTATCATGGACTATCAGTGCTGTTATGACTAATAGCAATGGAGTCTTTAGTACCATAAATTCAATGTATGTATGTGGTTTTATTATTATTATTATTATTTTCAATGATCTCCAAGTATTATCTAATTTCTCTTGTGATTTCTTCTTTGAGCCATAGATTATTTGCTGTTTTCCCAAACTTTCTTTGTTTAGTTTTAATCTTCATTTCATTGTGGTCAATATATTTATATATATAATATATAAATCATATTTTGTATGATTTCAATCATTTTAAACTTATTGGGCACTACCCATTTGTCAGCTTATTGTCATGTGGTAGCTTGCATGTTGCTATGATACTGGAAGCTATGCCACCAGTATTTTAAATACCAGCAGGTTTCAGCAGAACTTTCAGACTAAGACAGAGTAGGAAGAAAGGCCAGGTGATCTACTTCTGAAAATTTACCAAAGAAAACCCTGTGGATCAAAAATGGTCTCAAATATAACAAGGAATGTGAAGCTGCTATAAAACCAAACAATGATTTGTTCTTTTGTGCATAAAGTTGCCATGGGTTGAATCTGATTTGATGCAACCAACATTTATTCAGGTGTATTTTATGGCCCAGAATATGGGCTAACCTATAGACTGATATGGACTTGAAAAGAATGTGTACTGTGCTGTTGGTAGATGGAGCATTCTATATATGTCTGTTAGGTTTATTAAAAAAAAAAAAAA